TTCATAGCAACTAAGATCTTCTGATGAAGTGTTTTGGTGCTTTATATGTTTATGGTTCTGGATGATACCAACACAAACTTGTTTGCCAACAGACATTGGACTGCACTGTGTATCTGGGAGACTGGGACAGTGCCAAGGGTTCTGCTCTTGACCAGGAGGAAAATTGTCTCCATGCAGCCCTTCAGCTTCCATGGCACAGCCACTGGACTCAACATGGCTACCTGTGTTCTGAGGCAAGATGGAGAAGGATGTGGAAGGAACAGCGAGGCCCATCAAATCATAGCTGCACTCTGCAGACATCAGCCTCATCAGCTTCTCCTTAGCATTGTTCACTTGCTCCTGGAGGCTTTCGATCACAGCATTTTTCTGTAACAAATAAAAAAATTAATAAATACATCAAATTTGGTGCAGAAAACAATGCTAATACTGCATTAAGGTTGAGGATTTAAAGGCAAACAGGTCAGGAAGTCAGTCTGTTTTTCAGAGGAAATGCTAGAGTGGCAGTCTTTGGGCTTGTCTACTCTTGAAACGCTACAGCAGCACAATTGCAGTGCAGACACTTACTACAGTTACGGGAGAGGTTCTCCCATTGGCCTAGGTAATCCACCTCCTTGAGAGGCGATAGCTAGGTCAACAGATGAATTCTTCCATTGACCTACTGCAGGTGCGGGAACTAGAGGTGCTGGGGGTGCTGCTGCACCCCCTGGCTTGAAGTGGTTTCCATCATATCCAGCGTTTACAGTTTGGTTCAATGGCTCTCAGCTCCCCTACTATAAAAACTGTTCCAGCTCCCCTGCCTAGTGCTGACTACACCGTGGGTTAGGTTGACTTAACTACGACGCTCAGGGAGTGGATTTTTCACACCCCTGAGCGATGTAGCTGGAGCAACTTAATTTGTGAGTCTAGACCTGGTCTTTGAGCTGTCTATATAGAATAGATGAATGTCTTAGAGACAAAAAAGTGGGACATTAAGAAAATGCAGCAGGAAAAAAATTGCTCCACTGGGGCCTACTTACTGGAAAGCAAACCATTACACTGCAGTACAGAAATGGCACTTTTTTGTACAGATCGGAGAATCCAGATACAATCATTCAAAGTTCCATATAGAACTGAGACAACTCAGTGGTTTGAGCATTGGCCTGCTAAACCCAGGGTTGTGAGTTCAATCCTTGAGGGGGCCATTTAGGGAATTGGGGTAAAAAAAAAAGTTTGGGGATTTGTCCTGCTTTGAGCAGGGGGTTAGATTAGATGATCTCCTGAGGTCCTTTCCAACCCTGATATTCTAGCTTCTAAAATTCCAGTCCTGCACAGTTCTACCCTATTAGCTTATACATTTTAAATAATTATAGTTTGAAATAGCAGAATCACATATCTTTAAAATGAAACGTGAAGCATGTGCAACCTGTTCCTTTCCTAGCTGCACCTCAACATGTCCTTGAACATTTGCAAGATGTGGGTATTTGAGAGATTGCATATAGAAACATTTGCACCAATTACATTGGAACATAATGTTGTTCTAACAGCCAAAGCACTTCTGGTGGTATAATTTGGAGAAAGCTGAAAGGGAGTGGGAGCTGGAGACCTTTTGGGATAGGACGCATCCCCTCTAAATTAGATCTTTGTGTGAGCTCCAAAAAATCAGGCCAGTTTTCTGCCAGTTGCCCTAATTTATGTATCAGGTTTGATAAATCTGGGAAAAAGATGTAAAATCATTTTAAAAAATTCCTTTCTATGTATTATTTCTTGAGGGAAGCTGATGCAATGGGAAATCTCCATTTTGATCGATTTGTGACAGAGGGTATTCTAACCTACAAATCCTTCAGCAGACAAAGCAGGAGGCGGGGAGAGAGTACAGCAGAGGGAGGACAACAGCTGCTGGCCACTGAGCCAGAGGGAGATCAATGGCTGGGACTGCTCTTTCCACTAGCACGAGCTGCCTGTGAGTGCAGATTACCTCAGTAAGCAGCCGTTGCATGGAGTTCTTCTCCCCTATCAGCTGGCAGATCTGCTCTTCACTGTACATGGAGTGGAAGCTCTTGCTGGGGCTGGAAAAATATTTTGCCATGTGGCTAATGGTTTGGTTCTGTTCTTCCTCAAAGGCTTTCCACTGCCTGAGCTGTTGAGTGCAAACATCCATTATATACACATGAAATATATATACACGTAGAGAGACAGACAGATAGATGCAGACAGAGACACACACACACACACAAAGAGCAGGGAGAGACAAAGAGAGGGCGTGACACAGACATGCACAGAGACAGAGACAAAGGGGTAAATTCACACACGCGCGCCTTGATCCTCCCCTCACCCCCCACCCCCATCCCTGTGTAGCCTTTGGTTTTGGCTGCTTGTGTAGACTTTTAGATCCTGCCTATGCTACAGTCTTTAACTGTGTTGTAAACCAGGGCCCCTCTGAGTCAGAAATAGACAAAGATAATGTCTCACACACACTTTCTTAATCTTGAATCATGAATGATATGTTGAAAACCAATACCACTCAATATCAGCTTTTTTTTCACTGGTATCAGAATGAAAACCTAGTGCATTCAGGCTCCAGCTGTTCATCTATTTCAGATGAATGATGGAAGAGCAAAACTATTAGGAAAATCAAGCCGACAAAACAAAAGGTGAATTACAAAGCTTGAGCTAGATAAAAAGCTCAAGCTCTCAGATCAGCAACAGAACAACTGTGCATGCAGGAACTCTATGATAAATTGCATGGTGCAGCTCAATAGCTGGAAATCAGCTTCTCCTTCACTACTTGAAAAGATATTATTATTTGAATAGCACCAAAAGAATGCCAGGCACTTTACCGAGAGGATCTGCTCCCTGTTTCAAAGAGCTTACAGTCTAGCTAATCAGGACAATTCCACTGCAGCAACTGATTCCTGACACAGCTGATCTATCACAGAGCAACTTCCAGCCCTCCCTAGACAAAGTTATTGAGGACATGAGGTCCTGAAGAAGAAACAGGCACCTGACCTGACCTCACAATATCAGGAAGAAATAAAGGTGGGCATTATTCACAAATAGTTGGGTATAAAATGTAATTACTTGTTATGCTTCAGTTTTCACATGAATTCTGCTACTGAGAGGAACATAAGAATTGCCAGCCCTAGTCCACCCAGTCCACTATCTTGTCTCCAACAATGGCAAGTACCAAGGATTTCACAGAATGGTGCAAGAAACCTTGTAATGGACAATTATGGAATAATTTGCTTATTGCAAACGTTTCTGCCTAACCCTTGTCAGCAGTTGGCTTTTGCCTTGCAGAATGAGGGTTTATACATTTATGTATCACAGATAGCAACTGTGGACGTTTTCATTATCAATTTAAACGCCAATCCTTTTAAAATCCTCCTAAGTTCTTGGCCTCTGTGATAACTAGTGGCAGTGAGTTCCAGGGTTAATCATACAATGGGCTTTTTCTTTAAATGGGTTGTATTAATCCTGTATTATGAGAGTAAAGAGGAACACCTGATTTACCCTCTCGCTGCACTTCATTATTTGATGTACTTCTGTTATGATATGGAATCTTAAACAGGTATTTTTAAAAAAATTGCACTAGCTTTAAAAAAAAAATGTTTACATGCATATAGTGCTGGTGAAAGGCACTGGATCAACAGCCCTGGAAAGTGACTGCCTTTAACCAGAGAACATGAACTACCCAGGAAGCAACAGCAGGTCAACTTTCCTCTATTCCACCCATATCCATGTGCCTCAGTCATAAACAAAAGATACCTTCCCTAGGAGTGAAAGGGGAACTCAGTGGTCCATTCAGTGCTTTCCCCTTTGAGACTGCAAGCATCAGTTGTGATGGTATCTTTTGTGATGTGGTCTGTTGTCCACTAATTAATTTTTCATGGGCCATCAGAGATGACCTTTGGCACTACTAACCTAATCCAGATTAAAAGAGACACCCTAAAGTGATAGGCTCTGTAACCCCTTTAGTTAATTTTTCCCTTGTCCCGGGAATCTTGCTCCAATGATCTGGTCCCCACTCCACTGTCTTGATCAATTGCTTTCACAGCAACATATTCTCCTCCTCCTGTTCTTCCTCATAATTTGACCACCAGTGTCCTCATCAGAGCAGGTGGAAGGTAACAATGCAGCATGCACCATACTGAACTGACAGCCCAGGGAGACAGACTACCCAATCTGGGGAAGGAAGAGAGAGGAGCGAAGGCAGGGTTCACTCAGGTGATTTTATAGGGAGAACTGTCATCTAGTGGTAGAAGATGGAAACAGAACATCAAAAGTTCCAGGTTATATTCTGGCTCTGACATGAATTTGCTGTGTGGGCTCAGGCAAACTGCTGCCTCTCACTGTGCTTCCATTTCCCCATCTGTAGAATGGGGCTCACAGACCTCCCCAGGATTGTGAAGTTTAATTCATGTTGATGAAGCTCAGGAGTGAGGGCACTAGAGGAGGGGAAAGCACTATCTGGGTGGATTCTTTAGGGAGTAGCAGATTTTAGTGTTTGAGACAGAAGGGCCTCAAGGTGGGGAACACAAAGTAAGGTAGCCAAAGTGCCTCACCATCTGGCTGAACAGAACAGAAGGGTATTTGTCACCCCTCTCTGTAGCTTCCATATTTCACTGAGGACAGAACTGGGCTTGGGGAGTGATGCAAGTACCAGATGGGAGGAATCATCATGCAGAGCAGGAATGAGCTGTGGGTAGGCAGAAAGAGCAGGAGGTTCTGTAGGTTAGGACTGAGGTGTTTTGGTGCAGCTGTGTGGGTCTCACAGACAGAGTAGCAGGGGGGGCTGCAGGTCAAGATTGAGGGGTGCTGGCAAATGCACTCGTACAGACCCACTCTTTCCTGGGCCTGGTTTAAGACAGTTCTATCTCTGTTCCTCCCTCCCTGGCTCATTCCCTTGAGCCCTCAACTCCTTAACCAATATAGAAACCAACCATCATCCATTTCTTCTTTTCTCTCTTCTTATAGCAACCTGCAGATTGTATCCATTAACACAGACAGACTGTGGCCTAGCACATCAGATTCCTCCTGAAATACACAGGAAGCCCTGTCAATAGCTTTTCTTAAAATAGCTCCCGCTCCTCCCCCTCCCACACTGGAGAGCTGGGCTTTACTATCTGAGTGTGGAGAAGAGCAGACGTCCCAGGGGACAGCAAAACCCACTGTCAGCCCAGGAAGCATCAGAGCCCGGTGAAGCTGCCTGTCTGCATTGCAGCACGCAGGCTCGCTCACTGACCTGCTTCTCTGGAAGAGGAACACTATGGCAGAGAGAGAGAGAAGGACAAGAGAGATGGAGTAGAGGCTGTAAGGTGCTCAGTACTATGGTGATGAGTGTGGTATAAGAACCTCAGCAGAACAGATTAGATTCACCAGCAGTAACCAATCCCGTTGTCCAAGTCCATGTGCACAACTGCCCGTTGATGGACCCTTTGCACCCATGTATAGGG